TAATTATCATTTTCAAGATTATTATAAGAATTAATACGCTATTTTTAATATTATAATTGACCCATTTAAATATTTCAATATAACAATAAGCTCTTCTTTTTCTTCTAATATAACTTCAGCCTTTTTATTCCAATAACTATAGATATTGAAACAGGGTGTTCAATTACAATTCTATCTTTTCAATTTATTTTAACACCCATTTCTGGATTATTTCTATTTTATTGTTGAAAATTATATTTTTCATCTATTTATTTATAACTTAAGGGTTTCTTATACGAATTCCTTATTTTTTCCAACATCCAACTCTTTATAAAAAATAACAAATTTCAAATAATCAATAATTGCATAAAAGACTTTCCATTTCCTTTATTATTATATGATTCATTCGTATTATGATTAATATTCTTAATTATTTTCATCCTCTACACTTATTTAATTATAGCTTGAATCATACTTTTTAATTTGGAATATATAATGATGAAACAATCTTATTTTTCATGTTATCATCAAAAATTATAAAATTTTCTTCTGAATAATCAAATAAGGGGTTTCTTCATATTTTTGAAACAAAATAAAATTAAATTATATTGTACATCCATGTCTAGGATTCATACATTTGGAATAAATAATCATTAATTTGATTGGCTTCTTATTTCAATTTTTTGACTAGTTTTGATCTTAGTAAGGTTACTATTTGTGTGGTTTTTATTTTTTATCTTTTTAATCACATACACAAATGTATTTATTATTAATTTAGAAATGAATAAAGCGCAATTTAGAAGATTGTTGTCTTTAATTCCTGATAGATAATAATCTCCTATCAATACAAAATTATTTGAGATTGATTTAACTATTCAATAACCTAAGATCAAACCAAAATAATTGTTCATAGAAGAACTTCCTTTATTTTTGAATCAATAACATATATAGATATTACCTTTTGTTCCACAAAGAATGAAAACAGAAGTTTACAAAAAGATGTAACAAAACTGTAGTAAACCTTTTAAAAGTGAAGACGAAAGATATAATACAATTGATGTTGTTAGATCTAAATCTCGTAAACCAACTGAAATTAGAAAGGTTTCTTGCACTAACTCTTATTAATTACAATAATAATAAAATAAAATGAGAAAACAAAGATATTCATATGAATCTAGAAGAAGATAAAATAGCATTAATAAATTTAATTTCGAAGCTCATTTTTCCAATTTTGTTAATGCTAATCCTAGTTTAAATATCAATAAAATTAGAATCAATAAATAAATAATTTTTTAAAAGTTAGTAGAGAAATATCGAATAGGTATAAGTTAAAAAATTATGAATTTTTTTGAAATTCCTTAATATATTGATTTTCAATTTTGGAAATCATTAATATAAAAATTATTATCTATCAATTAGGAATAAATAATTGTTTTCATATATCGTTTGATTCATAATCATAGGCATTTATCATCAACTGATTTATTTCAATTAGGATTAACTACATAAAGTGAGGCTATTTAGAAAGATATTTAAACTATACTTACATATATACAATAATCACTAAATACTGAAAGTATAGATAGTGAAGAAATAGAATATTTAAGAAAATCTTCAATTTTTAAAGATAATTTAACTCTAACTAATCTATTAACTTGGACAGAAATATACTAAATTGATGTAATTTATAATTTTATTATTTTTAGCAATCAAAAACAATTAAATAAACAAAAGGATTAAATTATAGAAAATCTGTACCAATAGATTAATTTATTAGTATTTACATGACAGAGGAAAAGGAAGACACAATCAATTCTAATTCGATTTTATCAAAATATCCAAATAAATATCAATAAAATGAACCATTCTCTATAAATTTTCCAATATTTAGACGCATTTTTTAGAATTAATAAATTCATTTATGGAATGACATTTACTCTTTTTTTACAGGATAAATTTGTTGAAGATTTGATTAAAATTATAAAAAATTACAGGTTTCAAAATTGCCATCAAAAAGATTAATATGAGTCATAATTTCTAAATTAAATATGTTGTTATAAAGTACTATTTAATAGCTGAGCCATATTATTTAATTATTTTTAAGATAATTAATTCCTTAGATGACACTAGAGAATTAAATAATTCTTTTTTGACAATTTTTTATAATGATGAGCCTTCTATTTTTTATTGTTATCTTAATACTAAATTCTTGTCAAAATATTAGCACTTAAAATTTAACTATTTTCATGAATTAAACTTTAATCCAATACTTTATATCATATAATTCAATATAATAGCAATTAATTTTTGAATCTGTTTCTAAAAGAGATTTATTAATCTATATATTCATATTTTTAGCTTATATTATAAAGTTCTCTTTATCATATATGAAATGAGTTCTATTCTTTTTAGTTTAAAAAAAATAAATCATTTATATTTTTAATTTGTTTTTCAGAATCTATTCCTAGTTTTATTGTTATAATAAATAACATAATTGATATTCTTTAGTATTTTATCATATCAAAAATATTATATAAATGTGATATAAATAATATATAAATTTTTTCCAGACAATAAATTCATATAATTAAATAAAAGATATTAAATTATGGGTGTTAGAGTGACATATAGAAGAAGAACATCATACAACACTAGATCTAATAAAATTAGAAAGGTCAAGACTCCAGGTATGTTGATATGAGTATCATATAGGTGGTAATGTTGTTGTTCAATATCCTAATAAAAAAACAAGTGCCTCAACATGTGCCGACTCAAATTTGAACGTTGTTCTTAATGGTCTTAAAAGAATTAGACCAACTAAGCTTAAGCAACTTTCAAGAAGACAAAGAACAGTTTCAAGACCATATGGTGGTGTTTTAAGTGCTGGTGCTTTAAAAAACAGAATAATTAGAGCATTTTTGGTTGAAGAAGTGAAAATTGTCAAATAAATCAAAAAATGATACATATATGTTCTATGTTTTAGTACATTAAATACATAATATATAATCCTTTAGAAATCTGAATATGTTTTTCAATTTTTTGAAAAAAAATATAATATTATAAGAAAAAATAGTGAATTTAGTAAAATATTAAGTAATCATTAAAATCTATCTGTCTATGATTTTTCTAGATAACCGATGCGATTTTCCTTTATTTATTATTAACATTATTATTCAATTCTTTATTTTAATACTTTTTCATTTTTTTTTCTTAACCATTCTTCTTATTTTGAATGAAAATCTTAAGATCTTTATCTACTTATTTTTTATTCATTTTTAGGGATTCTAATTTCTTTAATTGGTTATTATGATATTTTTCTCTATAATATTTAATGCATGGTATTTACAGCAAATTTAGTAAAATTAATGTACTCAAGATTTTCTAATTCTTTATTTGGCTTTACATTTTCTAATTATTCCAAAGGTTATCTGAAAATTTCTTGTTCTTTGTTGGGTTTTTGTATTTATTTCTGTTCCTGCTCTTAAAGTATTGGCTTTGGGGAATTCTAACGAACTCTACAATTTGGTGTTAAAGCTTTTGTTAAGCTTTCTACAATCTCTTTTGAAATTCTCTAAAGCCCAATCATAGTACCCTTATGAGAATGTTGGCTATCTTTTATGTTATTATAGATTTACTTCTTGGACTATGAATATTAGATTTAGGATCTTTGTTTTTTGCATTTCCAGATAAAACTAGATTAAATATTACAAAATACTTCTTTTTGATCTATGTTCAGAGCTAGCATAAACTTGTTTCCAATTCATTTATAGAAAGAGATTATTTATAAGTATTAGATATAAATTATTAATAAAAGAAAAAAGACCTTTGCTTTTTTTAAATTTCATTCATTGATTGTGATTTTTTCATCTTTATGATTATCTTCCCTCTTATCTTCATCAATGAAGACTTGATGCTTGCTTTCTTCTTCACACTTTAAATTCTTTTCTCTTGGTCTTCCCCTACTTCCATAATGCTTATCACTTGGTATTTAAGTCCCTGTAGGAGGTTGCCCTTCATGCTTAATCCTTAATAAGATATACATAAATTTACTTCAAATGAGTGTACAATGCTGGATAGCTATAATAACCACGCCCACAACCGCATTTATATGGACGAGGAGTCTCATCATGTTTAGTGCATCTTCTAATTCTTTTCTTTGCACTTGGTGGGTCTTGTTACTAAGACATCTAATAATTATTAATTTATTTATATAAATTTCAATGATCATTTTTATATATTTTAAAAGTTTTTATTGTAATATCATTATAGATTACTGTTTGAAATAATTCCTAATGAATTAATGGTTCATGATCTTATATCTAATTTTTATATGATTTGATAATTTATTTCATTAAATTGATATAATATATTAATATATTCAATAATTTAATTAAAATAGTAGAAATTTTTGGAAAAAAAATAAGTTACTTGGCCAAATTCAAGATTTGGAATATAATTTAAACAATCATAAATAACAAAACCTTCAATAATCAGTCGATCAATTCTAGAAACCAATTAAAAATAAGAATTTTCATTTTAATAATCTAATTATAGCATAAAATGACAACTTTGTTTTATTATAGTAAAATTGATTCAGAATAATTTTAAATTATCTAATATTTCATAATTTATAGAAAAAGTTATAAATATTAGAATGAATAATGAAGATTCAAAATATCTATAACATTTTTTATGTAGAGTGAATATAAAAATATTAAATTTGTTTTGAAAATTAAATCTCAATCAAAAGGGCAACTTTCTAACCTGAACTTAAATCTCTATATGATTCATAAATTTTCTATTAAATATTCAAAGAATATAATGAATCCAACTTTTTATAAATTTATCAAATAAGGTATGCTATATAAATTAGAAAAGAAAAATTATGCTATTAATTAAAAATTAAATATTGCATCATTATTTTGATAATATTTACAAGACTTATACATATGATCGAATTAAGTGCGCACTTAGTATTTTATAAGCTTTAATTGATATAATGATTAAATGTTTTAAATAATATGTCTGAAAGAACTTAATGGATTTATAAAAGCAAAGAAATTTTAAAACCTATTTTAGAGACTCAATTCATTGGAGTTTCAAGAGCAATCTTAGGATTACCTATGGATCATTTCTTTGATCGCTTTAAGACTTTAATCTAGGCTTCATAAAATAACAATTTTAAACAAGTAAGCATTGAAAGTAACAATTAGTTATTTCTTGAAAGTTATAATCGAAATGGAATATTCCGTGGAATATTCGCTGGGTTTTCATCATAAATAAGCATTTAATTATTTAAATAATACTACAGGTAAACTAGTTAATTAGCATATTTAGATGGCCGATGATGATTTTGATTCCAAGACTTTATATGTAAATATTGCCTGAAAAGATTAAAGAATCTGCACCTGCTTTACATAAAGGATTAGCAGGAATAACTATCGCTTTATTTGAGTCTTTTGTAACTTGTCCATTTGAAAGAGTTAAATGTCAAGTGATGACTTAATAATAATCAAAATCAGGTAATAATTTCTAGAAATATCTTTAGTTTTAAAATATATGTGGGAACATGATGGAGGTATTAAAGGGTTTACTAGAGATTTGTTTACTGGAATGGAAGTCATGGTTTTAAAATAAGTTGTTTCTTGGACAAATTATTTATATTGGGATCATAGAGTTAGATATTATTTCAAAAGACATCCATCATAAAAATTAACAGTTAAAGAGATTGTCCTATGTTCTATATTCACAGCAATTCCAAACATTGTTATTGTTCAACCATTTGATATGATTAAAACATAATTTTAAATGGAAAATAATGATTAAATAAAAAATCTATCAATTTGGAATGCATTTAAAAAAGTGTATTATGAAAAGGGAATACCTGGTTTTTATGCTGGATGGTAGATGAGATTTTGTTAATTCATGTTCTAAGCATTATTAACAACTCCTGTTATGGATTATTTAGAAAGATTACATGGAGTTGCATAAAAAGTGTAGTGATAATATATATTTATTTGATTTTATTCTGAAATATAAATTCAAAATCTATATCAAACAATAAACTATTCTAAAAATATAAAACTTTTTATATAAATTAATTATATATAAAATAAAATGAATATTAGACAATATATGTTCTAAAAGTTATTGATCATTCAATTAACTAATTATATCAAATAAAGAAATAATGTAATTGGCTTTCATACTGTAGAATTAAGAGAAAAAGGAGCTTATTTCATTAATATCAAATAAGCATCAATACCAAATGCTTTGATCAATTTAAATGAGAAGACAACTCTTGCAGATTTATAATTAAGTTCATTAGAAATAGAAATAATAAAAAAATAATTTGAAGATAATTTAGAAGTAGAAAAGAGTAAAGAATGGAAAAATGAAAATACAGTTAATGAATTAGCAGGATTGTATTGATGTTGAATTGCCATAATTTTAAATCATTAATCATCTGGATCTGCTTGCTATTCTTATCCATCTTAACCTTCTTAACCTTCAACTTTTTCTGGCTCAGGGGGTTTAGGTGGATTTTTAGGATTTGGTTCAGGAAATTCTGATTTATCTTCTGGTTCCAATTATAAATCATTATTTTATATAGGCACATAAGCTGCTTGAGTATCTTTAAATCCATAACCAACATAAAAAAATGCCCATTGATTTTGCTAAAAGAATTTTTGTTAATTATACATTGGCTACTGTTACAGCCCCACTCCATGTGTAGTTTTTAAGAATAACAGTTGCATAGACATTATTTCCAGAATTATCATCTTTAGGATTATATATCATTTAATCTCCAACAGTTTTAATTAACCAATTTGTTTAATAAAATGGTTCAAGTGGACGATCTTCAGCAATACCTTTTAATCTTGTTGTTTCACTATCAAGATCTGGATTAGCTTCAAGTAAAGCATTTTTAGCTTCTTCAGATAATCCATCTGTATATAATGTTATTCTTCCTTATTTTAAAATTTATGCAGGAACATGAACCCAACTATCTGGATTTTACAATTCAGCAAATTCAGGGATTTTGAATTCTTCTACAAATTCCAATTCCTTTGCTAAATAAATAATTTTATTAATTTACGATTATCCTCTTTTTATTGATAAAGTCCTTTTGGTGCAATTAAATTAGAATGTAAAATCCTTACTAATTATGCTTTTAAATAATGCTTTTCTTTTCCAGGAAAAGGAGGATAAGTTTTTAATTCTTGATTCAAATTTCCTGTACAAACATATTTAATTTCTCTAGCTACTTTAATTTATTCTGGTGTTACTAGTGGTAACTCATTCCAATCAGTCAATACTATTGATTAATATATGAAATACTATCATTAGTAACCCAGAATGTATAATAATTTACACCATCTCCTCTAGGTTCAGCATTTGGTGCTAAATAATCTGTAGGTAGTTTAGGTACTACACCTCTGGCAACATAATAATCAGAATTTCTACAAAGTATTTTTCCAAAAAATGTCATTTCAGTTGCATTTGTTTCAATCTGAAAATAGATATTCATATTTACACTTAATTATTTTATACTTAATTGGATCTAGTAGGTTTCTTCCTCTCCAAAACCATAACCTGCAGCTTCCAACAATCTTGCAGATGCAACAAAGTCTTATAAAATAGTAGGCATTTATGCAACTGTTTAACCCTACAATTCAATAGCCATTATACTTTTAGTAATTGTGAAACTCTCTTTACCCAATCAGCAAATTCAGGGATTTTATCTTTAAGATTATTTACTTCACTTTCAGATGACAATTTTTTGAAAAGAAATCTATTTTTTTTTGTAAAATCTGATAAGAGTTCGATTGAGTTCATATCCTTATGATTGCTTTACAAGACTTCATTAATGAAGCTATTGATATGATCAAAAAGGGTGACACCATTGACATCTGTGTGAGATTTCAAAACCTACGATAATTTACTCATTAATATTATTATAATAAAATTTCATATCAGTTATTTAAATCGTCAAAATAAGAATGCTT